AGAGGAGACACGGAAGAGGATTGAGCGGCTGTTGAAAGAAAAGGAGGCGGAGGACAGACGAACTCAGGAGGCGACTGAGAGGACTGGGTTGGCCGATTACTTCCTGAGGGCTGAATCTGACAAAATATTCTTCCTAAGGGTTGAATTTGACAAAAGATTCAATGTGAATGACAGGAAGCTGGCTGCGTGGATCCGTTTGGAGTTCACAGCAGTCAGAGATACCTCTAAAGTGGCTGCGATACCAACTGTTATGTGCCTGACTGAAACGAGATACAGCATGCCATCCACACGTGCCCATACGCATGCGCAATGGCAAGAGATCTTGCAGAGAGCAATTCACACCACACGGATGAGAGAATACACAGTGGAAGCACTTTAAAAACCAAAAATAGAATTGAAAACAATCAATTCAAATTTCAAACTAATATCCCGCTCCCTCCATTGAATCAACGCACTGTATTTCCAAGAATCCCAACCACACTGTCGACACCCAGAAACGAATTATTCAGAAGTTTCATAGAGTAAGAGTGCAGTATTCTTCTTCCTCCCTCGCCACCAAGCTCAAGCTATGGCTCATACATCGCCCAACCTATCATGCCTGCCAACACTACACCACCTTCCTGCTTCCGACACAGCAACCGGCAGTGACCTCAATCCCAGCTGCAGATGAAAGGTCCACTCAGCAGGGGAGCGCAGCTCCCAGGATGAAGAAGAAGAGCACCGACACGATGAAAGATGAAGAACTGCCACAAGAAAGAAGACCACTTCAAGTTGCTGCTTCCTGGCAGCTCTGCATAACCCCAACAGCCACAGTATGGGCAGTGCCCACCAGCGCCCAGACCACAGTCTGCTGCTGATCCCCGTCAGGCATAGGTCCAGGGATCAAGCCCCGGTGTCAGCAAAACCAACAAAAGTTAGAAAAACTAACTACTTAGTTTTTTAGTTTTCAGCCTGCTGGAATCTGCAATCCAATGAATCCTTTGCATAGTTTTCAGCCTGCTGGAATCTGCAATTCATGGCGCACATGCCCACCAGCACACTCACACATGCATGTCGATTTTGGAGGCCGCAATCTGCGCCCCGGCAGGAACTCCCTACCGCCTGATTGATGGGGTCTGGGTTCTGACCTCTGCAATTGACTGTGAGGCTGGGCCTAGCCTACCGCTTGACTGGCCACTTGTGCCATTCTATAGTAGTCTGCTCTGCCAGTTGAATACTGAGAAGTTTAGAATCTTGTGAAGTTTATTTTTTTGAAAATTTTTCCCCTGTTCTGTTTTTTTTCATGGCTACGATCCAGATGTTCTGACCGCCGTCCAGACGGTCTGGATTCAGTCCGGACTCCAGACGTCCTGTCCGGAAGGTCCGGATCTGCCAAATTTCAAGGTGGGAAAAAAAAACGGTCCAGGACCCTTCCCCACTGAGGAGGTAAGCCCCCAAAATTGTTTTGGTTTTTTTTCAGGCCCGTTTTTGTTTTTTTTGGGGGGCCGGACATGGTCTCTCTTCTCTATAATAATTTATTAGACATACCCGTTTTTTCAATTATTAATAACTCGTTACTTTTTAAAGTCTTTTTCATAGTCTTTGACTTTTAAGTTTTAACTAAAGTTTGGTTAGGAATTCTGACATGACCCTGAGGCAAAACTGGTTAGCATTGTTATTCTGCATAACATAACATACTTTATTTTCAGATTTTTTTTTTTTTTTTTAATGGTCCTGACATTTCCGGACCTGCTCACCAGTTCGGACCGTCTAGAACCATGTGCAAGGAAGATGAGTGATAGCAAATTCCAACAATCAAACAGCATCATACATATGAGTCCAGATAGTATTGACCTCGAACCAAACGCAGAATTGCATCACGAGATACACCAAATAAGAACACACCAAGAGTTCATCATTGACAATGCTGAAGTAGTCCCATCATCATCAGCGAAGAACCAGAGTTGATATCCTATTGGCGCTCGGCGCCCAGACTACATGTGGCAGATCCTATCTAGCCTATACTACGAAGCAGAATGATGACATCAACAGCGTTCCCGAAGTACGAGCATATGGCGACCAATGTCGCACGCTTCAGCACCAGGTATGTCTTGCGCTACCCTCACAACCTCGTTCCCCAACTCACAGATGCCACTAGCACCCAAGGACCACCCTGCGCTTCACCCAGCATACAGCAGCGCAGCTTGGCTATGGCTGCGTGCTCCTTCCCTGCTCGCCCGTGAGAGCGTAGGCGCCAGCCAGCAAATAGCGCAGCAGCAGCGCTTGCGCAGCATGCAGCCAGCACCCGAATGCCGAATGAGGAGGCAGGCCCTTCCCTATATCGAAGTGGCCTGCCTGCGTCCAGTCCAGGAAGCTTCCAGTAGGCCCCGGCAGCCTGAGGCCCAGTCACGAGGAAAACAGGCCTTGGGCCTGAAGTGGTTGCATGTTCCCAACTGCTTTCGGCCTGTGTCCAGGTACCCTTATCCAGCCCAGGGCCTGCTTCACGTACATTCACACAGGCGGCCCAGGGCCTGGGTTCACTCAACCAACTGGCGCTGCGCAACTGCCTGAATTTCCCTGAGTTGCGTAGTGGCCAAAAAAAGGGCCCTGAGGGCCTCGTCGAGCCTGCCTTCACTTAGGGCGGCCGACGGGCTGTGATAGTGGGGCCTTATGGGGCTCTAGAGGCAGTGGCCTCGCACATGCATGTCTGGAAGTCAGGATGTTTGGACCCGACCGGACATGCGTCCGGTCCCCGGACATTAGCTGTCCGGGTCCAGGTCTGGCGGAGCCATGTTTTTTTTTTCTCCCCACTCTCTGTCTCCCCTTTTGTTTCTTCCTCCTCCTTACCCCTCTACAGAACTACCGGAGGCGGACGAATGAGAATCATAAGGAGAAAGAGACCATCATAAAGAGAACAGGCAAAATGTATACACGACGTGTCCTAAAGCACATACATATCACCCGAAAAAAAATTCAGAAAAAAAAAAGTTCAGCCAACACTTTCAGTAAACAATCCGCCGAAAATAACCTTCCCTGTTAACCACATGTGCTCCCCCTTTGCTCTCTCAGCAAACCAAGTACTGACTGGCCTCTTGTGCTGTTCTATTGTAGTCTTCTCTGCCGGTCTGATACTCAGAACCCTGTGAAGGCCGTTTTTTTCCCCTGTTCTGTCTCATTTTCCCTTCTCCCGTCTACCTCCTCCCTCCCTTTCTCCCTCCTCTCTCCCCCTGTGCAGAACTACTCAAGGCATTCGAATGACCATCTTCCACCCCCCCTCACTCTGCCTCTTTTTCATAGCGGGCAAGTGGGCCGTTATGGCACACTGGGATGTGGGCAACTCACACTCAACCGCAATGAACGTGTGAGCCTTGTATGTCAGAGGCATCATAAAGAGAACAGACAAAATATACCGCTCCCCCTTTACTCTGCCTCTTTTTAGTAGTGTGCAAGTCCAGGGAGTGTAACAAACAGCGTATGCTCGGGCACTTCCCTCTTCACAAGGATCCGACAAGGGGATGTGAGCAGTTGCACTCAACCACAATGAACGTTGCAAGCCTTGTATGTGAGAGTCACAGTAAAAGGGGAGCTGCTAGAAGAAGTAAAAGAGAAGCCAAAAAGCAAAAGCCAAAGTAAGGGAAGTGAAGAAAGAACTGCACAAGGAAAAAGCAATATAACGGTTTCAGCGTGCTTCATGTTGTTTGTTATAGAACGTCCTAATGTAAAGCTGTTTCAGTTTTGCATCTACTCATCCAGGTGGAAACGGTTTGTTGTGCTGACAGTTCACACAACACGTGGACACATGCACAGCCACACACCCAAGATCTGCTCATCTGGATGGAAAAGGGTTGCTGAAGTGACAGTGCACAACACACCCACACACCCCCCCCCCCCCCCCCCCCCCCCCCCCCCCACACACACACACACACACGTTTGAGACGAATAGTATTAGTGCCGGTGCTTTGCATTATGCCCTCGACCCCTTTACAGAGTATATTATATTTGTGCAAGTGTGCCACGCCTGCGGCAGACGGGTAGTGTGGGCACTTGCCGCTTAACCACACGAACGTGGGCAACCTTGAATCTTCTCCTATACTGCTTATCGATACTTTTTCTGTTTGATGGATGGTTTGTGATGATTTGTGTCTGGAATGAGGATAGAATTTGGGGATCTTTGAAAAACACACACGCGCACAGATGAAGAACCTGCACACACCAACATCCACCCCACATGCAGGCACACACACATGCATGCACACACGCACTTTGTGGGGTTGTTGAGTTCACACTTGGCCTGGAG